TATATATACACATACATGTGTGAATTAATACTGGAAATATTATAGCATACATTATAAATCTAATATGTTATCTAAGCTACTGGGAACCAAACAGGTGTATGGGCATGTCTATACCTCTTACTGTCTCTAACAAAGTAGCATTCTGATAAATAATATCTATATATGATTTTGCTATATATATTACATTTTGTTGTGATTTTGAGAAAATAATTCAGATTCTGTATAAAATAATAATATGAATGTAAAATAGATAAAAAAAAGGATGAACATGTCATTGTGGTTTGATAACTGAACTATATGGTTAAATGTGTGGTCCATGTGTTCTGTCTAAGTGACTCTGACAACAGAAGATATTTTCAGGCTATCTCCAGGGTGACAGACAACTCTGTTCTGTCCTTCCCATGTTCACATTAGACTAGGACTTGTTCTCTCTAGTATTCTTTTCTTTTTCCATTTCCTCTGATCCTAAGCCTGACAGAATCATCTTAACCTGCCTCAAGGCAATTTTCAACCTGACACTGAGTTTCTCGAGTTCACCTATGACTGTGAATCATTGAGCTAATATCAAGGGACATCTTATATGTTGAAAACTAAGCCAGGTGAAAATAAAACTTTTCTTGTTCACCTTTTTTTTTCTTTTTTCTGAAAAAAAAAAATGTTTTGGTACAAAAAATGTCATAATGCCAAGGTTGCCACAGCAGATGTGGTAGTTGTAAATCTCTGTTTTGCCGGTTGCTTCCATTAACCTTTACCCCAAGCTGAGTTCCAATCTGGAGGGCTGTGTTGCACACAGTGCAGCTCAGGTTGGGGCTGAAGTGTTTGGCCTTGGATGCACATGATACCAGACAAATGTAAAGTGCTTGAAACATGCTAAACAATGCAGGCAAAGCACTTGTGTTTGTACTGATGGCAGATGGGAGGATAAGAATTGCAATAGATTTCTAGTTCCTATTTGATTTTTAAATAATTTTTAAAATTGTTACATTTATTTATTTAGTATATTTATGCCATGTGAACAATCTTAAATTGTTTTCATTTTTACTGTTCACATTTGTTCTGCCTTATTATCAGCTTGACAGTCATCTGTAAAGCACTTTGAGTTTGATTGATGAAGTTAAGAAGCACATTTGGTCACAGCCGTATAGCAATGATTAGCTGAGCACACATAGCAGGAGCTGCAGGGAATTAACTCCTGTGTTAGATTTAAAAAAAAGCTTCGGGGAAAGATTTTGGTTTCTTTAGCCCTACTTTCCTTGGTGCAAAGCGTAAGTTTATTTGTGTTTTATTTAGCAAGGGTTTCAAAAATGTATTGCTGAATAAAACCAAAGGTATTCAGATGCAGTAATGCAGTAAATGTAAAAGTACTTTGATGGAAGACTACACTTTTAATAGTTATAAAAGGAAAAAGTTTATTGAGAAATTTACTCAAGTAAAAGTGAGGAATTGTTAGTTGCAGTACGTATCCAAAGGCAGTCATTGAAGGAAATATCAAACTGGGAGGCATTTTAGTAAGTCTGACCATTTTAACTGGAAGCTTATACTACATGTTGTAATGGAAAATAAACACAAATGTAGCAGTGCTCTGAAGTTTAATGGAGTTGACATATACCAAAGGATGCACCCAATAATGTACCAGTGCCTCTGCCATTAGGCATGTCACAAATAAATCATACATTTGCTTCATAAATTGTTTACATTTTTTTTTTATCAAAGAATTTGATATACCTAAAACCTAATCACAGAGAAAATGGGAATACAATCAGCTAAATTTACATCTGTAAGAAAGGGGGTAACACAGATTAGTAAAATTTGGCTGCCTATTTCTTGTTTAAATGCACCCAAGTTTTACCAGTCAGAGGGCGGCTGCAGTCCATTAAGTACCGTTGTATTTGTAATATGAGATATTAAGCACAGTTGTTTTCATGCCTTCTGGTTCAGTTGTTTCTCATAGTCTGTTTGCACAATAACAGTGAATCACTACCTGGACACTTCAGAAATCGTTCCACTTGTGTTCAGTGGCTGAAGCGTATTCTTTCAGCACCTTGGAGAGCGCCATGCAGTGTTTCTAATGGCCTCATAATGAACCTCACTGGCACTTATACTGTCAGTTCATGCTACTGGTAAGAGCCTTTAAAACATAATGCATTCCCTAGATTCAAACTTACGGCAAAACTTCAAGCCAAACTGATCCTTTGCTGTAGCCTTAAAACTCATTCTCACCTTAAAGCGAAAATGAAGTGTGTATGTGTGTGTGTGTGTATATA